CCTGGCCGTCATTGACCTACTAGTTATTATTGGTGGTCGTGCGTCTTTGGTCATTTCCTTATTTTTTTTTTGCGTTTAGTGCCATGAAGACTGCTTTTTTCAGGTTCTTCCTCCTGACTGGAGCTTGCAAATATACTTTGCAGTACTTTGAAGAGGGCTGCGAAGTTCTGATTTAAGGAACTTGAGCGAGCCAAGAAAACTCATATATTACTAGTACGATTTTGTTTCTCCAGATGTTTAATGGCAACAAGGATGCTGAGGGTGTTGTTAAAAACCGGGTGGAGCCCTCCTTTGAAGCTGTTTGTGTCCGACTCCATCCGAAAAGGTGGCATCGCTGGGTCTCAATGAGAATGGAGCTCTATGGGTGTCCAGGTAAAAGTAAAAATAAAGCAATCAATCACCTTTCTCTTTCCATGCTTAGTGTTAAAAAGAGCATTTTTTGGAGGATAAGGTATGTATTAACCATCCAAGACGTGCTGAGCTAAATTTCGTTGAGATGTTCCAAAAAGTCGGAAAGCCTCATTATTCGGAAGTTGGCCCAATAGCGCGGGGCTAAGTTTCTAAAGAAACTGGTGATACGTCCGTGGGAATATTACAAAACGAGATAACAAGGCTTTATCAACTGAGTTGATCATAGAAGGTGCCAACTTCTAAAGCTGACGTTTCACGCGTTATCTCTTCGTCAGAGCGAACGTCCCGCAAAGTGGAGTTTGCCTACTAAAATTTAATTAGCTTTTCCCCTGCCTGGAAAGTAAAATCGTTTATGGCAAGAGAGCTCAGTCATTATTAAATCAATTTGATATTTAAAGTGTTTTTAATTAAGACGCTATATCTCCTCTAGTCTCTTCGTGTTTTATGACTCTTGGCTTGCAAGACACGCGCATACCAGACACGGCTTTCTCCTCGTCGTCAGTTTTGACTCAAGCTAATGCTCCATCACGTGCTCGAATCCACCTTCAAGTTGGAAAGTTTCAGGCGGCAGGCTGGGCACCAGCACGTGGCGACAACACACCTTGGCTACAAGTGGATCTGGGGACTAGGATGATCATAGCTGGAATTGGAACCCAGGGTGGGCACTACCTTTGGTGGTCAACTGGAGGTTGGGTTCAAAAGTTCAAGATGTCCTTTAAGAGCGATGGAGAAGAATGGAAGATATATGGCAAGAACACGTCAGAGGAGGTAGGAAAAGGAAATGTATAGCACTTGGGCGTATTACGCTGATATAGTTGGCGTGTAATACTCTTGGAGTGTCCTGACTTCGTTGGTGTTCTACATTGATCAAAATAAGACCAATGTTAGGTGCATTTGTTTGCTTAGGGACCAATGCAAACGGTTGGTTGACTCCACAACTCTGACACGACTCGTGTTTCCTCAATCCAGTAAATCGCTCTGAAGATTTTACGAAGTTTTTTTTTTTTGTTATATTTCTTATTTACTTCTCTTAATATTGCAGGAGCTGGTTGGTAATAGCAATATAAATTCATTGATGATCAACAAGCTCTCTCAACCATTTGTAGCTCGCCTGGTTCGCATCCATCCCACTGTACGCACAACATATGGCTACCTAAGACTAGAGTTGTACGGATGTCCAGGTATTGAAGTATTAGAGAGACTGTTACTCTGGCCATGTAGACAAATTTTCTTATCCATGACTAGATCATTTGGTGTTCGGCTTCGTAAAGACAATTGGAAATCTGAAAAACAAGGGCGAAATCCTTTGCCTGCTTCGTTTTTTAACCCAGGGCGCCCCGCTTTTGCGTTCGTTCCCACAAGTCGACTTCCTGGGACATGTCATAGCCTCTGTGTATTGAAACCACGAGGTTAGAGTGTAAATCCTTTGGATGTCGCTATTTGAGAGAAATATCAATTAAGATTTTCGTAATGTTTTCCACACATCCCTCCAGTGTTTTGCGCACCCTTCAAGTAATTCCTTAATTTCAAGAGAGCAAATGAAAATAACACCTTTTTTTTTTTTGCAGACAAGAACGAGTGCGATAGTTCTCCGTGTTGGAACAACGCCACATGTAATGATCATCTTAGCAGTTTTAGCTGTGTGTGTCCCACCGGATTTGCCGGAGAGACTTGCGAAACAGGTTAGTAGAAACATTGTGATCATCCTTTTATCTCCCACGAGCAACCAAGACAAAATTTCTCCGAACAATACCAATATGATATCAAGTAGACAAGTAATTAGAATAAGGAAAAAAAGAAAATCAAGAGATTATAAGTTGATACAATTCCAAATTCCCAAAGTAACATAATAAGAATCGTATGGCAAACAGTAAGAATTGTTAACGAGATCATGGAATTAAAAGGGTAAAAAATGTAATTTCTGACGTTTGAGTGACATGGGAACGAATCAGTCCGGCATAAATTGATATTCTGACGGCACGTTGAAGAGGTTCGCGTGACATCACGGTAGATTCTTGGGAGTAAAATGGTTAGGCGTTCTTGACACTAAATCCTAAATGTCGGCTCTGCAAGTTCCAGTTTTCTGTGCAAGAAAACGGCACTTGTATAGATAAAAACAGGTTTAGATGGGTATGTCGAACTCAACGAACCAATGGAACTGGTGCAAAACTTTCTTGCTTGACTATGTCTTGTAAGGATAATTTGATTTGATCAACTCAGTTGAT